ACCATATCCAGGAGATGTGTCACTGTTTTCTCATGGCAAGGGTTATAAAATGCCTGCATGTTTTATATCCGCCGAACTGAAAGAGTACTGCTTCCATAACGCGCCTCTTTAAGCATTTCCATTCTCTGATAATGTCGGTACACACCGAGCATCAGAAACATGTCCCTACCGCGTTTTGAACTACCAGATTCTAGAGGTCTTCTTTCACAATATCTTTTATATCAACTGCAAGTCAAGCAGATTGTTCGAGCAGACTGATGGTAATTCGGCCATATATACCCCAGGATCTTCAAACATTTAAAGGGTAATTCACAGCCTGAGGTTTAATTCAATACTTTTCAACACCGTGAATGCTTGTATTTAAGAAGCACTTTCCAGCAACAAGAAGAGGCACTGAAAATCTTTCAAAAAATCGACCCATACGATAGCGAAAAAATGATCAGTGAAAAGCTCTGCCAAAAGATGAACATCCGGATCAACGAAAGATTATCCGCAATCCGCTTCGGACAGAAGGACAGCTCCGATGTTGCGCAACAGGTCACTTCAGAGAGACACCCCTTCCAACAGACAGGCCTGATTGGAATCGACTGATCGTTTATATCTTGGACTTCTGACACATTAATACCTTCATAGATACATCGAATATGCAATAAGCAGTCACGTTTCGTTGTGAAAGCAAAAGCTGGGTGCGCTATCACAAAGCTGACGTCAACAGCCAGGCCGTCATCATGGCCGACATAGGGCTATTGCTCACTATTCCTCTTGTAGTACGCATTTTCCTCCATTTTGCTTTTACCGGCCATATCACTGCTGCCTCGATTATTTTGCAGGTGTGACGACCAAATGCGTCAACAATGAAAACTTCAACATACACCTTGCTTGGTGCCCTAAGCTTCGGATAATCAAACTCTGTACTGCTTGGCTGCTTTCTTTCTTCTTTCGCGTGCCAGATGTCTCAGGCGAAATGAAAAAACTGACCGACGATGACCAGAGATGACCATAGATCTACTTAGCGGTCGCGGATGCCCGAAGTCTGTTTCAGCTGTTGGAATTGGCAGTAGTGGTTCGAGTGGCATGAATGTTAAGGGTTGGATGAGATAGTAGTGTTGGGTTTTCCAAGTCCCAATCATCCATGAAGAGCAAGTGTCATTTTTTAATTACTTCATATCACCTATAAAATATTGCCTGACATTCGACATCTTCCCTCCATACAACACAGAGCATGATAAAAGTTTCGTGGTGCACTCGCACTTCTACAGACTCTGCTCCTCTATGCCAACCTCTCGGTCTGCATCAGCAATTACAGTAACTTTTTCTAAAATCAGTCCAAACAACCCATCCGAAAGTTGTCCTTTGAAACTACACGACATATGTTACTTTAAAAACAGGAATTAGTTCACCCGCAACGCTCGGATAAGAAATCTAAAACTTGTTGGTCGAGTAAAAACTTGTTTATAGCTGCGGGTGTTGAAATTGTTAGTATTCGTTATGATGATTAATTTAAGCTGCTAGCAGTCATCTCGATTTCTGCAAGAATAGTAATATCTTCTGAAAGAGTAGTTATACAGTGCTGCAAAGAAGCAGTTCATCCCATAAGCTGATCTCAGACAATCAGTCACTATTCGTAGACAAATATATGGACAAAATATACAACACGAACGGCAGTCTAGATACAATCTTTTATCCAAGACACTCCGCAGGTGCTCAAATACCACGGAAAAGTGATCTCTGTTTAAACTTTCTTCCAAGACGACTAAAAGCAAGCTGCCGGCGCATTTTCGACACGTAAATCCGGCACCGGCAGTAGAAATGTAATATTTACCGGCTTGAGCAGAACTGAACTGAGCTGAACTGCTGTCATTCGTGGTGATCACCGGAGAACATATATGGGATTTATGTTATATCCAAATTTGTCCACATATCTGCTTACGGATTATGGAAAATTTTTCTGCTTGAACATGTCCATGTTCAGCCCAACTCAGAGATGCGGTATTGAATCTGACGCACTACAGGTGTCAGA